ATTGAAAGAGGTGAGAATGCAAAGAAGGGGAAACACAGACCTAAAGTGCAATGCTAATGATAAGAAGCAACTGTCAAGAGCTGCTAGTGGGGAATTTCCATTCAGCAAAGCTGGCTATAGATATAGGAAGGCTTTAAACTACATGCTAATACAAAGAGACACAAAATATAGGAGAACTAATACAACCTAACCACATAATCTCCAGAGGCATTTACTTCCATTTACTTGGAAGAAAAATATTTTGTCAGGGTTTCCTGAAAACAGTTAAGTGTTCCATAGCTTGTCCCTCTCCCCCTCCCACCTCTACATTACTGGTAGCCAAATTAGCAGACTCCTTTCACATGAGTCTTCTCTTTGGCATCAAATATCTGGTTTACTAGAGTATTCTAAAGAGGAGAAAAATTAAGCCTTTATACAGTGCAGTGAAAAAAAAACACATAGTAATATTTATGATTGAAGACCTAGAAGAATAAAAAGCCATATTATGGTAGAATATTACGAAAGTGTTAATAAACTTTCCAAGTAAAATTATTGTTCTCCATATTAGTTGGACATGGAAAGGGCTGAAGTATAACAACCATGGATGTAGTAACAATAACGATAAATTTAGTAGGCATATGTGAAAGAAGTGTCAAAACCAAAAAAGTGTTCCAGACTTTTAGGATTCTCCTTGTGGTACTGCATGCAGTAGATACTTCCTGAATAATTATTTCCTTATTTTGAAAGCACTGAGAGATGTAACTATAGGAAATTTGACTTTTTATTAACCAACCTATAGAAAATAGAGTGGTAATCAAGTGTGAGAGCTAAATACCCTGTTAGAGAACTTGCTGTTTGCCACTGTCTGGAGATAACACGAATCTCAGACAAAAATTTGCATAAAGCACAAAGGGTGTTTGTATTGCAAGAGCTTGTGGATCAAGGCTTTAGGACATTTCTTCTTCATAAACAAACTTTATGAGATGAGTGATCTAAGGAAGAAAAGTTCACTGAGGAGAATGAATGATGGGTGAAAGCATATAAAGGTGTGAGATGGAATAAAAGTGTAATAAAAACTGGGGAGGGAGCCCTGCAGAACTGTATAGAAACACATAGCAAAAATGACTGATAATCTCTGAGAACACTGCTGAAGAGAATTTGAATACAAGAAGGGAAGATGAAATTTAGTGATACATATAGTAAGATTACAAAACCATGTAATTTTCCTATGGTAAATGTACCACTGAACATCCTGGTCTAACAATAGCACTGTGGTAAATTTACCACAGGAACACTACATTTTTGGTGACCACAGCTCAAAGCTATCAATCTAAGAATAAGGGCAGTGTAAGCATTTTGTAAGAATTTTGTGTGCAATTTAAAAAAGCCAAGATGAATGTAAAGATAAGAAGGCATTCCTAAGGAGAGAGAACTGGAAAGCCACAGAGCAGTTAGAGATCTCATTTGGCAGAAGGTTCAAAATACCGGGAAATATCCTTCAATAGAAAATGGAATGGACAATCTGAATTGTTAAAACAGGGCAGAAATCTCATAGCCATCTTCAAAGCAATTATTGTTTCCGCAGATAAGAAGCTATTAGATACAGCATGCTTTAATGTCAATTAATCATTTTAGTCTCATGTAGTAAAACAAAAAATGTTGGAAAAGTGCAAACAAGATAAAGTTCATGACATGGCACACAAACCTTGTGAAGCATGTGGCAAATAGAGTGTCATAAAAAGTCCAATTCTTTGACCCTTGCTGGTTTGAGCAGTACATGCAAGTTTAATCATCCTGAATGACACCAATATCACAGTTTTTATGGAATCATAGCATCATAAAATTTTAGGGGTTGGTAGAATTTTAGGGTATAAACACAATCTGCTATAATAGACCCAGAATTCATTCCAAAGGTAGGATGCCCCAGAGATGAAGAATAAAGAGTTATGTAACCAAGATCAACTAGGGACTTACATCATACATCATATATTTGCTGTCAGAACAGTTCAAATAATCTTTGGGGATGAACACCTCATAGACAATCCAACCAAGGATTTGTTATAAGAATGTTTTCATTTGTTCCATAATGAGTTGACAAAATACAGGACATATCATATATATAACCCACAGCTAGAATCAAATTACAGGGACATCAAGCACTTCATGGGTCATGAAATTCAAATTTATTTTGATAAATTGTAGGAACTAAATTAATGAAATAACACTGTATACTGAACTGTGAAAAATTAAAGCTGCTTGTACAAAATTAAGAGTAATAGACTGGTGGATTTCAAAAGTGAGGAGGAGTTTAAGCTATGGTGTTACAAATCAAACAAACATTCTGGGACAAATTAACAGAATTATGATACATGTAGCTACAGGAAGTAGCAATGTCATTTTCAATGTCAGGAGTGAAGCCTCAGCTGGATAATTATGTAGTTTGGAGTGCCATGGTTGAAAAAAGACATAGACAAACTGGAAAGAGGCCAAAAAGCACTGAGTATGATAAGTGGGTTGGAAAACTTGACCTGTGCAGAGAAGTTGAAATGGTTTGTTTTGTCTAGAAAAATGGAAGATTGGTGAGAGACAGAATAGTCTGTAAATGTATCAAATGCCTGTAAGAACAGTGGGAAATGTCTTACATGAATGCTAAGAGTTGTGCAAGAACATTGAGGGGCTGAAACCATAGATGCAGAGTGCAAAGTCTGGACCTAGCATTGGCAGTATAAAACTAGTGGAATAGCAGTGTCACTAGAACATGAATACAGAAGTAGTAAGATGGAAATGTTAAAAATTTCTTGTATCAAAACGGTCTTAGATAGATGTTTATTGTGAAAGTGCTAGAAGTACATAATAGAATTCCAAATTCAGCTAGCCCTGAATGTGACAGGCTAATGACCAAAAATGTAACTGAGAATTGTGGTAGTATGGAGAGCATTGGTATTTGCCGTAGGGACTGGAGAATAAAAACAACTGTTACTCATAGGACCTCAGTATTCCTGGACATAAAGAATAGCACTTTTTTTCATTAGATATTCAGACTACAAATTAATTATAGTTAATGAGGGTGTTATAAAATACCTGGTCATAGAAAATAAGCTTGGATGACATGTTCAAGAGTAGGCTCTGAATAAAACAGGGGAGTAAACAAAGTATATACAAAAGAAAATTCTTGATTTCAGAGAGACATCTTTTAGTGAATTAAGGGAATTCTCAGATAGACTCAGTAGCATCAGCAGATTCCAGGGTCCTGGAATATATCCTCTCAATTGTGCAAATTACAGCAGGAAGCTGCATCCCAAGAGCAAAGAAAAGCATAGAGAAGAGGCTTGAGGTAATGGATGTCTATTCATCTTTAAAAGATATATTTAGAATAAAGAGACAGCTTACAAAATAAAATACGAAAGTACAGAGAAGCAAAAGAAGTTGCATCTTAAAATCACGAAATCAAGAGTATGATTAAATGTTGAACAGAGCCTGGAAGGAAATTACTTTCAAGGTTAGGACTTGAAGTCATTCTTGCTTAATATTTTCATAATAGCTTGGCACAAAATACAGGGACTTTCTGATGAAAGCCACAAAAAATTAAAAACTGGAAGACAGTAAGAGAAAGGAACGGGGATATCATACAGGGATCACCTTTAAGTCTTGAGTAATAAAAATGAGACAAAATGAATAGGATAAAATGTTTAAGTCATGCACTTGGGTGCTAGTAACAGAAGGTCCTCTCCAAAACTAGAAACTCTATACTTGGAAACAACTATGGAAGTGAGGTACTAAGGTGAAATGACTAGAAGCTTCTAATGTGGCACAGCTGTGAACGAGGCAAATGCTGTTCTGTGACATACCGAGAGAAGTATTTCTAACACAAATATCTCTAACACAAATATCTCTAACACAAATAGAAAGACCTAATGTCACTGTACAAAGATCTGGCAAAAAATGTCTCAGTATGACTAGGTCAAATTTTAATCATCCCTCTTCAAGGAAATACAAGTAAAACACAATAGGAGAAGGGTTAGTAGGTTGATGAAAGAAACAGCATGTTTTTCAAGGGAAACTTAAAAGACCTTGATTGATTAGATCAGCAAGAGAACAGCTTGGAAGAGCTGTATGATAATTGCCTAGAAATACATCTGAAGAGCAAATATCAGTTAGAGGAAAGAAGTATTTGATATCAATAATAATGCTGGAACAGAAACAAAGGGATATAGCGAGCTGTGAATATGAATAGAAACTAGAGATACAAATCATTAAAACAAAGAAGTTCTTGAACTGCCTTCCTCTGGGAGTGATCAGGGCAAAAAAAAACCTAATTGCTTTTAATGGACACAGTAAGTTCACAACAGGGATGATGTAACATAGCTGCAAGTGATTGCAGGGATTGAATTTGACAATATGGAAAGACTTTTCCAGCCCCGAGTTTCTGTTGATATAGAAAAAAGTCATTGATTATTTTTCTTTATTGCCACCAAATTAGGATATAAAGTGTTCAATTTTCTTTGCAGATTAGAGAATAACGACAACTTTCTATTAAGACACCAAAGCACTGGAGCAAACTAGCTAAGAAAGTTTTCAATAATCACTTGAGCAAATATTTGACATGGCTTTTCTAGGTGTACTGGGACACACCTACAAATGTGGGTTGGTCTTTTGAGGTTCTTTCCAGCCCTAAATTTCTATGAGAAAATATAAGCTTGTGCTTTTCTGGAGTCTGGCTTAGCAAAACAGCAAAAAAACCCAAATAGTTTCTGTTCAGTAATTTACACTCTGCAACTTTGGGAGATATTTGCAGTGGTACATTATTTATTAATTTTCCAGTGTTCAGAGTGTTCTAGGAAGTTCATAAAGCAAATAGAATTCCCAGCAGGAGACTGGAAGCTTTTGGCTTTCATACCTGGGGAGTCTGGTATTCACACAAAAAAAATACCATTATTGTACTTAGCATTCTCTAGCACAGAAAATACAGTTTGGTGTGAGCTCCATTGTAAAATGCTTTTCTTCTCTGAACTTCCTTCCAGAGTGGCAACAGGATTCTGTGTTCTATCATTCTGGACCACTACCAGGGACCATCGATAATAAACTACGATGATGAGAATGGCAAAACATGTATGCACATTGCTGCTGCTGCAGGCTACAGTGACATTATCAGTGACCTGGCTAAGGTCCCAAAGTGCAACCTGCAGGCCCTGGATGTAGATGACAGGTAACCATGGAAACACTGAAACTGAAATTGCTGCTTCCTTTCTATTAACCTGAGACCAACTCTGCTTATTATATAATCATGTTTCCTATCTCACGGGCCATGGCCCAGTTAATGAACTGTACTCTACAGAGAACTGTGCTTGCTCAGAACCTGCAAACCAGTCCAGCTCACATGTACTGTACCTAGTATAATAATTGACGAGTAGGAATGATATTTAGCTTTGTGTTTCTAAGTGTTTCTGGTAGGAAAAGATAAGATTATGTGTGAAAGGAGATTGTCACTGCTTGACTCAACTTCTTTCAATCAGAAGTGAACATTCTTTTCAAAACAATAGAACGGGATCCTACAACTTGAAGCTGGGATCCTGCTGCTATTTGTATTTAAGAAATGGCAGTGTTCTTTTCTTGCATTTAAGATGGCAACACTGTGTTCCCATAGGACCAGAGGAGTTTCACCTTCCATTCTTACAAGGCATTTGATTTCTCCCAGGAATCTTGTATCATCAGTACCAAAGAATCTTCTTTCCTCTTTTTCACCCCACACCTACCTCCCTTGGAACTTTCCTCATAAATTTATTTAATGCAAACAGAACCAACTGGCTATTCACATTTACTATGCTGCTCAGTGAAGAAAAAGCCAAGGTTTTCTTGGCTTAGGCCTTCAGGTACTTAAAATAATAGCATTCTCCATGGAAAAGTGCTATAAAATGGAACAGAAATAAAATGAACAGGGTTCTGGAGAAGTTTTTAAACATCAGTAAAATGTAGAATGCAGTTGAGAAGGCTGCAGTGTTCTGGAAAGAAAGGTGAAGGGAGGAGGTTAACTACACTTAAGAGTTCATTAAGACATGACCTATTACACATTCTCAGACATTTCCATGGAAGGTGTTATACTTGAGGGGAAAAGATAAGCTGTTCACTATGAACACACATAATAGAATTCCATTCTACTGTCTTTCTGACTGCACCCACCTGAAATCACTGAAAAAGCAACGAAATAGACAGAGAAATGTCAATTTTATTTTTTATTCTTAGACAGTTTCCTTGTGGTGTTTCCTGTGCTTTTACATAAGAGCAAAATATTACAATGTGGAAACTGGACAACAGTTTCCAAATACAACATGCACATTTTCTGCTAAGCAGAAAATCGGTTTGATTCTCCCGCACAGATTCAGAACAATTATATGCACTTGGGTCTGTGCCCATCACACAACACAAGAACTGGCAAAGTGGCAGTGTCAGTCTGGTAGATGTGTTCAGTCCTTCTCATTCATCTGGGGGATGATTCTCTTATTACATTCATAGAGAGCCCTGTACCAACCATTGCTAGTTGTGCGTGGAGTAACGATGAGAAGTTTGTTCCTAGGCAGTGCCACTACAAAGGGTTTTTTTCCCAAATTCTGCTGTGAAAACTTCGGGCACTCCTCCTACTCTGCAATTCCAGCAGTGGAAGAGATGCTCTTATACTACAGCCCCATATCTACTTTATCAACAGCTAAATAAATGCAGCTACACCAGTGTGGAACAAGTTGATGGAGAATTCCTGAAAAAGGATGTCATGAATATGGACCAGTAGCATACGAGCACACTTCATTATGTCATTAATAGTTTTGATAGTAAATCTGTTCATGTATTTTAATGGTACTCCCCCTTTTCTGTAGGACTCCTTTACACTGGGCTGCAGCAGCAGGAAAAGCTGACTGTGTGCAGACACTGCTAGAACTGGGGATAGACAGCAGCCCTCGAGACATCAATGAAAACACACCTCTGACATATGCAATATACTGTGGGCACACAGCATGCATCAAGCTGCTGTCTCAGGAGAGCAGGTAAAGGTAAAGTTCACATCTTGCTCACATGTTGCCACTGACTAGGAAACAAACTTATAGCTTTTTGTATGCTACTGAAGAGTTTGAGGCCTAGGTGATTCATATGCAATACTCAGTTCAAGTTTTCCACCCGTGTAGCAACATTAGAATTAGTCATCTACTGAAGACTCATCACTGAGGCTGCAGTACTTGTCTACTAATCAGCAGAGGGTTTTGAATAAGATGTGAATATAGCTCTTGCTCAGTCACTTTCATGCAGAGAATTGGTCTTACAGAATCATTTCAGCTCTCAGATACTTACTTTCCACCTTTCTGAAATCTCTGTGCACTAGCTGTGTGTTCATGCAATCAGACAGAGGGAGACAGCTTTGCCAGATGATAAAATAAATCTAAGGCTTTCATCATCAGAGTAAGGATTTGGGAGCATTTTTCTCATCTTCTTTAGTTCTTTACCTAGATTGTCTCTTCTTATTCTGTTTTTCTCTGTTAGAATAACAAAAGAGTTATTGCTTACAATCTTCCTCTCTCTTTGTATTTCTCCTGTTTCAGCAGCTGTCATTTAATTAATTTTCATTCTTCAGCTTTGGTAAAGGAGTATGCACTTACATTTATCATCACATTTCTTTGTGCTTTCCCTTCCTCTCCAGACAGCAGTTAGTATTATTCCCTACGTTACAAATTGGGAGGCATGGGCCTCTTCTCTTCTCCTGCACTCTGCCTGTTAGACGAGGCCTGAAATGTTGATTAGCCAAAATTTCATCTCAAAACCAGAACAGCAACAGCACTGTAGGTAATTATCTTGATTGACCTGAAGCTGTGCCAGACCTCTCTAATACAGGCAATGCAAGACAAAGCAAGGCAAGGCAAGGCAAGGGGAAAGGAGAGAGGGCAGAGGGAAAAGAGGAAAAAGGAAAGGAGAAAGGGAAGGAAGGAATGGTGAACTGGTGCCTTTGTTACAGTGTTAGCAGTGACTGTACTGCTGGAAATACCATTTTCCAAATATGACATAATACAAAGACCGCTTGGTTTAAAAGCTGCCAGCATGTTCCTCTTGTTATCATTGGAGCTTGCAGTTGGCAGATGCTGAAGACAGGAAAGTTTGTTTGTTTTTCCCAGATAGCTGCACTGAGTTACAGTGAGATGACTGTAAAACATTTAACTGATAAGAAAGGGTGAAGTAACACAGTAGCATTTTCAGCCTTTGTTAATTACAATTCAGAGTCCTAATTTTCTGCCTTCTTGAACCATCCCTGCAAGTGTATCTGAACAGTATATTGCTCATTTCATGGGCTAACACAGTCAGTAATTTTTCATTATTTGGCAATGCTGACATCACATTTTGCTTTGTACTTCTAGCAGATCTGAGTCAGTTCATCAGTTTCCCTCCCAGAACAACAGAATTATAAAGAAAGAAGGACGATTCAGCATGCTGAACCACATCTTCTCTTGCAAAAAGAAGAAAGATTATCAGAAAACCAGTCAGGAGAGAAGCAGAGATCAATATCCTAGAGAAGAGACCTCAGAAGTAGATGATATCATCACCCGTTTTGATTGCATTATGAACACAAACTGCGAAGACATTCCAGCTGAGTGTATGACCACTCCTGACTTTAAAAGAAGGAGCACAGATACAAAGTACCTCATGCCAGAAAAAAAGCAACCTGCACATCAGGGACTTCTGCCTGTCACTACCCAGAGCCTTCCCCCAATCACTGTAGGCAATTCCTTCCTAACTGCTTCCCAAAACACAATGCCACATTTCTCCACCAGTACCCACCATTTTCCACACCAGTCTCAAAAGAGTAGGAGCGAACACAACTTGCTGCACCACAGAAGCAACTGCCAGGCCTTGCTGGATGATCCCTGGGACAAAGACTCTAACCAACTAATCTCCTACAAAGTCTGTACTAGGACTTCTTCAGACAAACTGATAAATGGCTTAAACGCTGATAAATCTCACCACATGCTTTTGTGCCCTCCCTGCCTTCCCTCGCTTCCCAGTTCTCCATCAGGTAATTACTTTTTTCTCTGTATCTAAAATCCTATGATATCTACTGATGTGGCAAGCTGAGTCAGAAAAAAAATAGGGAAGTCCGACCCATAACATTTCTATTTCTTAAATATCTATTTCAGAATCTTCTCCCTGTATGTAGGAGCCATCACAGCTAGCATACGGAAGGCACATCAGCTGAGCCAAGGTGCTTAGGTGTGGAAATAAGAGATTTAAGTAGGTTTGATGAGCAAGCAAGAATGGAGGTATTTAGGAAGCATGTAAGGTACCTGAGCAATAAGTGCCTCCAGATCACACATATGCTTTGTGTGTTGCACGTAACCACCCACTACCACACCTGATGCCTTGTGCCCACATTTAGTACTGGAAAGGAACAGCAATGCACCCAAATTCATAACTGTGCTGAGAGCTGTTTCTGGATCCATCTAGGTTCAGTGCCATGCTGGACAGCTCTGCACCATGGAACTTTTGCTGTACAGGCAAAGTCTGACTCAGGGCTGCAGTGGCACCTCTTCCCACTCCTGCCACCCTGCATGCCAGCTCTTTAGTCTAACCTGCAAAGCTGAATTCAGGCTGCTAAACTTACACAGATGGAGTAAATGCTTTTATGCTGTGGTCTGGAAACTGTAATGCAACAGTAATGAAGCCGGGCACCAGAATTCTAAAGTGAACTCGAAACCAGGGTTTGGCTGGATTTGGGATCTAGTATTTTGTTTGACTCACATCCATGTTTAAATGAGTCTGGATGGCTGGCCTGTGTGCTGGAGTTTAATTTCACATATCAGTGTCTCCAGCTTCTCCTTTGGGATTAGTCCCATACCAAAATGAAACATATCTAGCATGCCTTCCAACCACTACAATATCCAGCTGAAACTGAAGCAAGCAAAAGTAATCCCCAAACTTACCAGTACACCATTAAAAGGAGTAAACATTACACAATAAGTTAGTCTGTACTCACCCCACAGACATGAGCCATTATTCTCCATCGGAAAGAGGAGTGAACAGAAACTCTGTCTGAGAAGAACTTTCGGTTAGCTTAGATGGTAGTGCAAACTGTACTAACTTCTGATGTGAACTATAAAAAAACAAATCTTCATGCGCATCTCTGACAAGGAGAGTAAAACCAGCAAGTTCAGAATGACAGGCCATTCCACATTGTGCAGATAAAGGCTGGATATAGTTTTTTCCGGGCAAAAAGGAGCTATTTAAAAAGTTCCCCTTCCTGAACATGAGGCCACATTCCTGAAAGCTCAATAGAACTGCTCTATAGGTGTCACTACATTTTCACTATGCACTCTTCAGCTATTCACTCAGCCATACAAACCCCATACTCCACATGCCCAGCAAGGATTGCTTCTGCACAATTTCATTTTACACTGAATTCTGCAAGGTTCAGCTCACATGTGGAAGACAAGAATACCTGCAGGGCTTCTTTACAACCTAAATATAATAGGGTACAGTGAGGTTGAGATACTTGAGGTCATTCAAGCTGACAGCAGTAGGAGGAATGAACTCAAACTGGATGAGCCAAACTGGAGGGCAACTATTTCTGGGAAATATTTCTTGGTGGAATTTGATAGACTATTAATGTATTTGATGTGGAAGTAACTACCATGTTATTTAAAATGGGATTATAGACTTTTCTTAATACTACAGTATACTACATAAAATGATTAGATTCTTCTTTGCTCTGGACAAAAGTACAGGTGGCTTTCTATGAGCATCCAATGAAAAAAAAAAGTGCAATCAGCTGAATCAGGATCTGCACAGGGACTCAGTATGGTACCAGAAGTCTAAATGCATGAATGAGGGTGAAATCATATCAATTATGTGAAAAGTTCTAATTGCTACTATGGGAGCCATCTTTGCATGTCCAAAGGAAACGTACGTCATTTGTTTCTGACAGTTTATTATCTCCCTCAGAGAATATAAAGCCTGAGTCTGCTTTAAGCCCAGTTCTCTTTGTACCAGCTCCCTTTAACAAAACTTTCCAACAATAAAAATTTCCTGTAGCTGGCAAAAATTACTTCCTCTGAAACACGTGAATTAAAAGCCTGTAAGGAGGCAGTGTCTGTTCAGGAACACATTACACAATGCACATACTGCCTAATTTCTTCAGGATAAAAAGGTCTACTTATCCCTCTTCACACCTATGTGTGTGGTTTAAATCCGTCTGTCCTTGTAATTAAAGTCACCTGACTTGCATTCACTGTATGAACTCCAGGGCTTCCAGGTCTCCAGTGCACTGTGCCTGCAGGACTTGGAGAGATCAGGGGCAGAGCAAGCCTGGCTCCAGCCCAGCCAACAGTGCTGTGCTGGCAGTTCTTCCTGAGGAAATTTTTTTTTCATTTGGGGGGTTTTGTGTGTTGTTGATGTTGGTTTTGTTGGTGGTGGTTTGTTTTGTTGTTGTTTCTTCACTTGATTGTTTCCTGCAGAAGGCTTAGCTGAAGGAGAAAACATCTGTTTTTTTAAGACACTGAAGTGTTAATACTTCATTTCTCAATTCATGACTGTGGGGGCTACATGTAATTTCCTAATCACTGAATACTTAGGCCAGGATTATCAGTATCAATCACCTAAGGAAACTCAATTAGAAAATTATCTGCTCAGTCGCCACACAGTGTTGATTGTCTTGCACAACCATGTATTTATAACCTTTGCAATCATCTCTTTTTGCTAAATGTACTGCCATCTATATTCCACAGGGAAAAATGGTGTAAGTAGAGAAGTTCCAAGTGATATGGGTAAACGGAAGCCTGTCTCAAATGTAAGGCAGCTCTGAGATGTGTATTACCACCCATCTTTTAGATTACTAAACTTCTAGGTCTAAGGCGACACTTTATTAAAGGTTTTATTACAGCAGCCTTCTATGTGCTTGAGCAGGTAATGTGAAAAACAGGCTGTTATTAAGTTTTCATTGGTATAAGCAGGATAGTGTAATCCAACAGGAAGCACTTCTGTGCCAGAAAAGTGTAGAGTAAAGCTGATCAGTGTAGCCGTTACTTTCTCAAACGGAAGAACCAATTTACAGTGAGACATTCATTATAGCATTAACAACTTTTCCACCAAACATACCACAATGTGATTCACCTTCCTAAATGCAAAGGAAAATCAAAAATAACAGCTTGTGAAAAAAAGTCAGTAAACAAAACCAAAGGCAGTCCTGCATTTTATAATAGCAAAATTGCTGCCTTTCCATTTCATTCAAAACAAAAACGACATTACAAATGTGCTCTTGGGGACCACAAAGGTGATGTCTCATAGAAAAAAAACCCTGTTTTTCATATGTTAGGTGGAACAGGTAGAAAGGAAAGGAAGAATACCTCCACTTGGCACCAGAACTTTTAACCACAAGGATTCTTTTCCAAGTATTCATATCAAGCTGGCAAACATGATTATGCTTTGTACTATTGTTTCACTGCCAGTTATCCCCATTCATGAAATAAACATATCTCTTGGTAGCAACAACAATATCCCATCATCGAAGCCATAACAGTACATATGCAATAAGCCATTAGTTCTCAGCATAAGTGTCACTGAAACCAATATACCTCGAATTGCACTAAATGGGAGCAACAGATAATTCTCTGCCATATTGGAATTGATATATTTAGTTTAGTGCAAAGTGGGTGCAATGTCTATAGAAGAAATTTACCAGCTAGACACTAGAAGTGTTAAAGACTAAACAAAGAGTAAAACAGAGGAAAAGGAAACCAAAGCCTGTTTCTATTAGGCACAGCTTACCCATACAAGATTATTCCTGCTTTTGCTCAGTACACATCAGCTTTACCCATACAATCTAGCAGACTCACCCAACGTCTGTCAACTGTCATGGTGTTTGGCCCAGAATCTTGCTACCTGCTGAGCTGGAGGCTACACTACAACATGATGGTTTGTCTGATAAACACCACTTTCACACATGATCCATTTAATCAGTAAGATAGTTACAGCAGTTTGACAACCACTTTGGGCACCTCTAGGAAACTGTTCTACAACTGTTTTCCTATGGCTTTATCTTGCACAGCCCAGCAATATGTAAGTACTTTTGAGTACCAATGACAAAGCCACAAAGGCAATTAATACAATTCCATTTCTTCCTATTGCTTAAGATGCCCTGCTGCATCCATCCTGTGTCCTGCCTTGACTCTGTGTGCCAACAGAGCATATGCTTGCTCTGCAACGAGCCATGTTGCAATGCCATGCTGGATGAGCAGCTATCTGGCAAGACAACCCAATACTCCTTACAAAGCTCATTGCAGACCTGGTGATAATTAAAAAAAATAATTTGAGGGAATCAAGCAGCACAGAATAAGATCAGCTCAGAAGAAGGATCTGAGGAAAATGTTGATTTGGTGCTTGAGTTTCTACTGTCATTTATGTAGTGAAATGCATTACATCATCTAACATAATATCTTTTTTAATAGTATTAGACCAAAGTTAGCTTTAATCTTAACCAGGGACATGCCACAGTTAGCAAATTAACCTTTCACTTTCCAGTATCTGTTCTTCGTGGTAAAAATGAAATTGCCAAAAACATAGTTTAACAAGGATAAGTATCAGTTTATATCAGTTCTGATATGTTTTCATCCGCAGCAAAACTGTCTCAAAGCTCATTGTGACTGCTAACAGACTTCAACCAGTCCCTTTTTCCAACCAGCAATTGAACTCCATTGTGTTCTAGTACTTAGAAAGGCTGAGAACCTACTAGAGTATTTTGCAAACTAAAACTTCAATTCAGAAATCAAATCCATCTAGTTGAGTAATTCTACAAATTTAGTGTCCAAATATTCTCACACAGACCTAGCTACTGGACTGTGCTTAAGGTATATGTGAAGATTGTATTAAATCAATCACTCTTTTTAATGAATGCAAAGCAAACTAAGCAACAATGGTTTTTCAGCCAGTGATTTCTTTTTATTACATATTTCTGAGAATTACTAAATAATTTTTCCTTTTTTTATCTAGGAGCCAGAAAAATACAGTGTACAACATTATTTGCAAGTATTTCCACATGTAACAGATTATCTCTTTCTTTCACAGGTAAAAGTTTTCAACAGATGTCCATAGACCAACACAAAGTAAAAAATCTTATTCCTGTACGGAACAGCCTAGCTCCCATACCCAACCACTGTGCTCACAAAAGTAAGTATAGACAACATAATGTCAGTTACAGCGTGCCTCCATCACTGACATCTGAGGGCTCGAGAGAGGTTTCATGTTCCTTTTTCACAGCATCATAGAACGGCTGAGGTTGGAAGACATCGTTGGAGGTTGTCGGTCCAACTCTACTGCCCACAGAGAATCACTTAGAGCAGGTTGCTCAAGACCACATCCTGTTATGTTTTAAATGCCGCTATGAATGGAGACTGAAACTATATGATTTCTCTGGGCCAACTGCTCCACAGTTTGACCCGCAGAGTAAAGAAGTTTCTTCTTACGTATTTGTGGCCATTGACTCTTTGCCCTTCATAAGACACCACTGAGAAGAATCTGTCTCCCTCTCCATTACTCCCCCCAATCAAACATTTATACGTATTGATGACATCCCCTGAGCTGCCTTCTAGTTTCAAGGCTGAACAGTCCCAGGTCTTTCAGCCTCCGCTTTGAGATGGGACATTCCAATCCTTTAATCATCTCCACTATCCTTCATTGGACTTGCTTCAGTATGCCCATGTCTCTCTTGTACTGGGGGCCTCAGAACTGGACTCAGTACTCCAGATATGTCTCCCCTGAGCTGAAAAGAGGGGAAGAATCACCTTCCACAATCTGCTGGCAATGCTTTTCCTGATGCAGCCAGATGCTGTTGGCTGTCTGTGCTGCAAGGGCACATTGCTGGTTCACATTCTGATTGTCAAAGCATAGTCCCAAAGAGCAGGGAAAGCCTGACTCCACTCCCACAGCCCCAGAAAAGTGTCAAGGTTGAACACATAAAATCATAGAATCAGCCTGGTTGGAAGAGACCTCAAAGATGATGGAGTCCAACCCTACCATGGTTACTAGACCATGGCACTAAGTGCCACATCCAGTCTCATCCTGGAAACCTCCAGGGATGGTGAATCCACCACCTCCCTGGGCAGCCCATTCCAACGCCTGACTACTCTCTCTGTAAAAAATCTCTTCCTAATATCCAACCCAAACCTTCCCTGGCAGAGCTTGAGTTTATGCACTCTTGTCATAGTGTGTTCCAGGCCAGATCAAGCCAGCAGCTGGGGTGTTCTTCACTTACAAACACTAGCCATACTCCAGACAGTGTTCTGTACTCACATTCTTGTGCTCCACAAAGCACAAATCTCCCAGTGCGTATTGGACAAGGATTTGCAGTTTGCTATTTGTCATCCTGCAGATCAGCCAGGGCCGAAAGCATTCATACTTCATAGCTAATTTTAAGATTCACTGCTTTTTATAATCTGAGTTTCAGAAGCAATTCTGCAGTTATAACAATATTACTAGAAATGAAGATCAGACTGTGTAGGGGCACACAGAATTGTGCACTGCAGCTGCTCTGCAAATAAGAAAGGAAAAAGAAAAGCAGAGATGTGTGAATTAATGAGATTTGCTCAGAGGAAAGAAAATAATCTATCTGCTTTCAAAACCCCAGCCCCAAGTGTTCTATTTTTAAGCATTCTACTCATGTTCTCTGTGTCTTCTAGTTAAAACATGGTTGTAAGCAAAATCCTTAGAAAAATTATTTCATAATCACTCCTGTTCCTGCAGGAATTCATATAAAAGGTCACAAATTTAGTTCTAGTCTCATGCCAAAAACTGTTTTACAAATAAGATACATTTATCACAATTAATAATCCTGGTTTAATTAACTAACACAGCACATTTATCCAGGTGCCATTACTGCTTGAACATTAGTTCAAGGCAGCAACAGAAAAGCAAAGTTACTTGCAAAATAATTACATTTCTTCTTTGTTAACACAAATGACACATTTTGTCCTGGAGCTTTCCGAATAACTGTTTCAGAGCCAAGATTTCACTCATCTTCCATCCAGCTCTAAAAATATTACTGCTCTGGACACAGGCAAAGTGCTCCAGCAACAAAGATTGAATATAAACATTTGTGTTTCTCTAATACATTTTATTACACAAGATGTGTGTTAAAAACATGAGAAAAAAAAGGCACCCAAGAAGTTAGAAGAAGAAAATAAGCATAAACTAGAAAGAGAACTGAAACTACACAGAGATTAACAGAAAGAAGAAACATGTCCCCAGAATAAGGAAGGGCAATGAAGAAAAAGGAAGAAATTCTTTAATCTCTAAGCAAAAACATTTAAAAATACACATTAGAAAGAGGAAAATAGGAATGAAACAGTAGCCTAGGAAAAGAGCACTTGAGTGGCTTGAAACCATATTTTATAAATTGCCACCCTCCAGATATTCCCAGGGGCAAAGAGCACCCTTACATGGCTTCTTGAGTGGCCTCAGCACAGACTGCATGCTGCTGCTTTATCCCCAGCACATTCTTTCTAGCTCACCATGCAATGCTTCCAAGAGCCCCTGGAAAACAGGCTTGGAACTATCACACACCCTGACACAATGCCAGAATAATTTTCCATTTATGGGGCTTCTAGAGAACTCTCTCCTGCTCTCACTTCTTCATGTGGCTTAGTAAGTCTGACACCACAGTGATATTATTACTTGTTGAACAACAACAGAACAGAAAACACCCACCAAAAAAAAAAATCTATTTCTTTATTTTCTGGGGATCAGTGGCTGTTTCTGCTGTTACTCATGATTTGAATTTTATTCTTTCCCAAGTTAACTGCAAAGTATTCCACAAAGCACCCACATCTCTGCAGAAGGACACTGTGGTCCACTGTTTGCAAAGGAAGAGAGTCTAAGAGCAATACCTTCTGCTGGACAACATACTCCTTGGGCAATGCCTCTCCGGCAGCCTTATTTTTGCCTCTGCAGGTCATTGTAGCAGCCACTTGAGAGTCACTAGTGAGTGGAAAAGTGTCCCTGAATTAGTAGCTCCTATTCTATCACTAGGTCTTTGGTGGTTGACTCTGCTCTCTGCATGTGAATAATTACTGGTGCTTTGGATGGATGGATGGATGGATGGATGGATGGATGGATGGATGGATGGATGGATGGATGGACGGATGGACGGATGGATGGATGGATGGACGGATGGACGGATGGATGGATGGATGGACGGATGGACGGATGGATGGATGGATGGACGGATGGACGGATGGATGGATGGATGGACGGATGGACGGATGGATGGATGGATGGACGGATGGACGGATGGATGGATGGATGGACGGATGGACGGATGGATGGATGGATGGACGGATGGACGGATGGATGGATGGATGGACGGATGGACGGATGGATGGATGGATGGACGGATGGACGGATGGATGGATGGATGGACGGATGGACGGATGGATGGATGGATGGACGGATGGACGGATGGATGGATGGATGGACGGATGGACGGATGGATGGATGGATGGACGGATGGACGGATGGATGGATGGATGGACGGATGGACGGATGGATGGATGGATGGACGGATGGACGGATGGATGGATGGATGGACGGATGGACGGATGGATGGATGGATGGACGGATGGACGGATGGATGGATGGATGGACGGATGGACGGATGGATGGATGGATGGACGGATGGACGGATGGATGGATGGATGGACGGATGGACGGATGGATGGATGGATGGACGGATGGACGGATGGATGGATGGATGGACGGATGGACGGATGGATGGATGGATGGACGGATGGACGGATGGATGGATGGATGGACGGATGGACGGATGGATGGATGGATGGACGGATGGACGGATGGATGGATGGATGGACGGATGGACGGATGGATGGATGGATGGACGGATGGATGGATAAATGGATGGATGGATGGATGGCAGGCAACCAGCCCTAGGGGCTCTGCCTCTCACAGATCCCAGTTCTGGGTCCAGGCTCAGGTGTTTCAATACATACTAGTCATTATAGGTATTGTTCCAAAGCCATCAATGTGCCAGTCCTGAAATCCTTATCAAATATCCGAAACTGAGTACAATATGTGGCACTAGATGGAAAGAACTGATGCTTGGATGCTGGTTTTTACTTCTTTGATTGAGCATGGGTCTGTGATGGCGACCCAGCCATGGGAATGAAATTAAGCTACAGTGCTTTTGTCCTACTTAAACCCATCATTAAGGGCTTATCTAGCACATGAAGTGTTCTGGACACATGTTACACAGGTGTGAACTTTGAATATATTAACCTGTGACTGTGCTCTGAATAGGGAAACAAGGGAGTCTGCCAACATGCATTTGGTTTACACACCAAAATTTCAGTGAACTCAAAGCATTCTACCATGTGCCAGAAAAAAAGTGGGCTCATTTATTGTATTTAGCCCTCCCTGATTCATACAAATACAATACAACTAAAGCAAAGTATTAATGGTTTGAGGTTTCTGTTTTCATGGAAAGGAGAACTAAGTGATTTCCTGAATTTCTGAACATGAATAAACCCTGAATATGACCCATAAATTATGGTACATTGCCAAAGGCCTGGCAACTCTAGCAAACGCTGCCTGCTCAGGGCCATCACAACTTGAATAGTACTTGAAATTAGCTTGAAAAGAAAAAAAAGTCTACCAAGATCCTAAATCCTCTCTATATGCAAAAAATCTGCTTTGCCCTAAATCAGTATCTGGTAAGTCTTAGAAAATTACTGCCCCTTTTAAATAAATAATGAATAATGAAATGAGTACAAGGTATAAGGTACAGGGGATTGTAACAAGAAGAACTTCAGCATCCTTTGCACAACGCATATAGTTTAAATATATATATGCAGTGAGGGCCCACTGCAGACAGGAGAGAAGTAACATCTGTTTCCAACAGGGCTAATTAAATAAAACACAAAACCTCAAACTAGAACACCTCAGAGGAAAATGTTAATAGCCTCTTATATATTCATCACAAATATCCAGATGGATGGAAATAACTGATGCAATCAAGCAAAAGTGAATGTGAAAAACTACAAGGAAGATTCTGTAGCCAAAACAGAGATGGCGTTAACTCCAGTAAGGAACTCTTCAGATGCTTAAACTGAAAAACCTGTACTGTCTGTATTCAATGAGCTTGTGAATAAAATGGAGACAAAAAGAAAAGAAGCTGATACGATTCACAATAAATTCCAGGGAGATAAAAACATGTTTACAATGTAAGGTTTTGAATTCTTCTGTGAAAAAATCAGGAAATTACTGAGTTGTCTGACTGAATGAGCTTGAGGAATTCAATTTAGAGAAGACATAGAACTATCTTAACTTTAAACCACAGTGTAACACTGCTGAGTGTGAGGTGGAAATTAAGGATGATCTAAATCCAGCGTTTCTTACAAGAGTACGATAGATACAGAACAGCTGTGCCTCTGGTGTTTCAATGTGGGTCTTAGTGTGGTACAAGGCAATGTGCTACTTTTGTGTCCTGTGACTTGCAGAGCACGTGTGAACTTATCTTTATGATTGATTGAGCCTAGAGCAATGTTCCACACTCTTCCATTTCAACTTTTTAAGATTTTGATCAGCATTTATCTTGGGAAATAGAGCATCCTCCCAGAAAAGTTTAGTTCAAAATAATATATTCCTATGAAACATTTATTTGGTTTGTGATGAAAAAATGTATTGTGGAAATTTCTCCAAACAAACCGAGTCTCCTCCAGACAAACTACAGATTCTCTGCTTATCAAAAGTAAACCTTTGGACTTATCAAGTCTTACTGATACAAAGTAAATTGCTTAACACCAGAGTTGTTTTCTTCAGATGAAGATTAGCTTTGCCAGTCTTATATGATTATTAATTTATTGATCACGTTTTTCAAATGCAGGTTTGAGTACACAAAACAAGCGATAACAGTTCAAAGAGAGCTGCAAACACCTCTGTAAAAATGTCATGCTTTTCACCTTCTGTGCACTCTTTCTCTCTTTTTCTTTTTCCTGTAGTTCAGCTACCATCTCAGGGTGCTAAAAAGTTTCAGTCCCTAAGGACTGGTGCAGATATTCTCCCACCTGCTCCAATCTCCAGATCCCAGAAAATGGGACATTCTCAGAGTCATCTTCTCTATTCCCTCTTGCCTGGTCTATCAGGACAGCCTCTGAAACCAAGCCGTGTCCTACCTGCTATCCCAAGCCAGAAGAAATCTAATCCTGCAGAAGACCTTCAGAAATCTCTCGCCAAACCAGATGCTGAAAATTAGCTCATTACACTGGCCTAAATCAGCTGAAATATGTCTAAGTGCTTATTACAAGGTAACCGTACAGCAAAATCTCATTAACTTGCACTAATGATACTCTCATGGACTGGAGTGTAAATGAACAAAAACCAAGAAAAGATAGCACATCACAAAAGCTGCACTGTGTGTATATATATAAACATACATATATATGCATTTTCATTACAGTCCTCATTAATGATGAAATTACTAAATCATTATTTAATCTGCTGTACATTTATTTTGTGAATGGAACCTTCATAACACGTGATCTTGTTGCAGCAATGTGCTGTTGATCCTTTCATAAAAAACAGGAACAAAGAGTAGGATTTTGTGCATGATTTAAAATGCAGGACTAGAGAATCATAAATTGACAAGGTTTCTCTGTGGTTTGTGAAGGCAAAGGTGCTGATTCTGATGCTGTGTGCCATCAAAAATATCTTTTTAAGATTAAAACAAGCTCAAAATAAACGGCAGTTTTAGCAAATGATGATTTTTGTCTGTTTTTCACATATTTGCTAAATTGTAAGTTTGTGGGTTTTGTGAATTCAACAAGGTAAAAATGCAGAATGAAACACTAATCCCTGTAGGACAGACAGGTCTATAGCATACACTGTTCAAAACTGTTCATTTCACTGACAGGTTTTTGTCTCTTTCATTTAATTCTTCATACTCCTAGGTGACAAAAATGGAAATGTATATTGTTATCTTCATAAAATGAGGATTGCACAGTCCTGAGTTTCTAGGCATTATTTCATCACTTTGATCACTGAACTGAAGGAAATATAACTAGGCTGCTGTTCAGTCAAGAACCTTGGCAAGAGCTATAAGCCTTTGACTAAACATTTCACAAGACTGTCCTTTCCTAGAAGCTAACAAAGACGCCAGCCCCTGCTTGCTTCAGGATTCTTATCTAAATCTTGATGCTATTACTTTAGAGGCTTCCTCACTTCTGATTACAGAGGGGCTGTGGGCAGGGGGGGAAGGATAGTCTTCACTTTTCTGTAGCACCCTTGCTAGTAAGCCTGGCCAAAATTAGCTCTACATCAGCAGCTCATTGAACCAGGACATGGCACTTGTGTTTATCTCTCGATAAATGTTTTATTAGCTGGACAAACATTTCTTTTGCTGTGTCACAGCAACAGACAAACCTGATGTGAACAAGATAATCGCGTCCCAGTAGCTGCAGTTTCCAATTTCCTTGTGCTGATGACTGTAAATAGAAGGGCTGTCACAGACAGTCCCAGGAAGAAAAAAGCAGAGCACAACAACAGCTGCTCTGATGCAACAACACGGGGAAGGGGGAACCTTTTGCACACAAGTGAAAGCATATTTTATTTTCAGACATCTAATCCAAATGTCAGGGTATCAAGATCAAATTCAACAAGTGATGTAAACATTTAGCTTTTTCATGAAAAACGAGAGAGTAAAAAGCTCATGTGCTTGGGCCTCACAGGCAACCTAGTCCCTGAGGCTAGACAGAATAAACACTGTGTGATAGGAGCATGCTCTGCTAAAGGAAAAATCAATTCTGGCAAGCTCTGTCTCTGCACCTGATCAGTCTTGCACAGTCCAGCCTCACTGAAAAGTCATCTCTCCTACAGTGTAGCAGACTGGTATTTGCTCCACCAGGTCACTGCCTGAGCTGCTCCACTCTCCGGAGCCCCGACCTTCACTGGTTTGGAATTCCACCTGTTGCAAGTCCAAAATCACTATTGTGACTCATGCCCCTTAGTACCTCTCTCTGTGGCCTCACACAAGAGGCAAGTGATTCCTAAGTCATTGCCTACAAATACTAAAACTTCAGTGCAGACCTTACGCCTTTACTATCATTTGGTACAAAGCAAATGGTTTTGGTACAAACGGCACAGAGGAGAAGGAAAATCTAATTCATACAGCTCTGGCTGGCAGAAAATAACCTCTATGTTAACCCTAAGTGTCAGCATAGACATTACAAAGTGGCATTACAAGAGGCCTGCAAAGTGTGTTTCTGTAAATCAAACTAGCATATTCTACAAGAAAAACCTTGATTTCAGCTACCAAAACTGCTGCTAGGCACTCCGAAGGTCTTCACAGAGTGAAAGCCCAAAGTAACTACTCTGGCAGAGAATAATTATCTTTAGTTCAACACGCTGCTTGGTGGGAGTGGGTACAGCACATGGAAGGAAGAGAAGACAAAATGGCACAAGAAGGAAACCCCAGGGAGGTCCAGCATTTCTGACTCCACTGCCACACTAGCCCTCTTCAGTGGGTAAGGAAAACAGGATTTTAGCTATCAACTGGGATGCCTAAACAGAGGCAGGTCCTCATTGCTACCACTGGCTTTGAGAAAGGGGGTGAATGTCTCTCATCTCTTGTGTTACCCTGACTGTTTAGAGGTCCAGGAGAGTTCTGGGCTGCCTAATGGCAATCATGTAAAAGCTGTAGTGGCACCCATATGTTTGCCAGCTGCTGTTCCATGCTGGAGACCAAGATACAGGAGCAGTCTGTGTTGGCTTCCCATAGAGTCTTGAACAAATTTCAAATGTGTTACAGGAAGAGAGAAAGGGAGAGACATTCCCCCATGCCTTAGGCTAGACAGTTCCATTCCCAGAAAGGAAGCAGTCAGCTATCTGATTTTCCTATTCAGCAGTGCTTTGTTAATGCAGCATGGCTGAACAAAGATGAATAATGAATTTTTGATCAAAGATAACACTGTCTTTCAATTGAAATTCCTTCAAAGATTTCAGGTGCAGTCAGTTGAAGCTAGAAACACAGACTACCACTGACTCCTCTCTATGCAATACATTTGTGTGACATGAGGCAGCTGCTAGATGATATTTTTCCTATCATTTGCCCCTTTTTCTTCTCATCTTATTCTAGGAATGAGTGTTTTCTTCTGTGGGTCTGCAACCCAGGAAAGACTTTTCCAGGAAAGGAATGCAAATCTAATTGCTGTTCAAAGCATAAAATACAGTTCTTACCTGAACAGACACAGCCTTAAGTGCAGGGTAATCTGAACTAAGATCCAGGTCACTTTTCTAATGTGCTTCTTCTGAGGACTGTCAATAAAGAACTAGTTCATGATTTACCAAATACAGATCTTTCATAAATTAATACTCATAGAAAGCATTAAAAATTGTTATCAAAAATGTCTCCCCCAGAAACTTCTTAGCTTTTGGGTTTGGTAGCCAAATTCTACAGGAAATAAAGAAGGCAAATTAAGCTGAAGTCTATCACCTCCAGAGGAGAGCAGACTGTTGACTGCAGCATACTGCATGAAAGATAACAAATGAACCAATGCCTACTTAAGCTACATTGACCCCTTGCTCAGACCTTTCCTGGAAGATAATGGCAGGAGAGACAATAAAAGGCTAATACAGTTCATGAGGAATTTCCAAGAAATGTCTGGTCAGTAGGTCATGACAGAGATATTTTTTTTCCTCTGTCTAGTGGTTAAATATATCTGGCACATTCTTCTGTGGCACAAGTTGAGTGTTTACTCATGGATGGTGCAGCGCTCAGGTGTCTGGGGAGTTTGGCTTGGCACAGAGAGCTAAGAAAACATATGCACATACAGGATATATTTTCTGATCAAAGCACAATATATTCCCTCACACACTCTACATTCCATACATCATTAGTAGAACTCGAAAATGCTTTTAAAAATGGTGCAGCCTTTATTCCAGTGGGCCATTTACCTAGACTGAATGGAGTGCTCCACGCTTACAGTAAACTGTGCAGGTGATTAATATTAGCCCATTGTTTAAAACAGAGACAAATGTTCATATATAAGATAAAGAATCACCTGGTATTATGAGGATCTTTCTAAGGCTATTCTATTGATGAGCAGGCTCATTTTCTTGTGTAAATACCTAAAAAGGGAGCTATATCCTCTAAAATTCAGTTCTAATAAAGCATTTTAAACACACCTACCACTGCCAAAGGTGGAGATCCCTGTTCCTTCACCCCTTATTACACTGCATTCCATTACCATCCCCAAAGGAGGGTCTGTACAGTGCATATGTTTTTCCACTGCAAAACATGAGAAACATCATAGTTACCACTGGGACATGAAAGCATAGCAACTTTTCAAACAATTCTAACAGGGCTGTAAAAGCTCATCCAGTCATACTGTCATCATGATTCATCACACTTCTTCCTCTGCCTCTGCATTATAATTTAGAAGAAGAAAAAGTATTGAAAGTATACATTGTTTGCCTTTGTATTGTTAAATCAGAATTTTTTCCTCTTTATATACACAGGGTTCCTTAGATTCACAGATTTTTCTGTGCTAGCACTGTTGGTGAAAAAGCTCAGCATTATGACAGAGGCAGTTTAGACCAGAGGTTGTCAGGTATCCAGCCTCAAAGGACAGAGAGTAGTACTTGATGAGAAGCCAAAAAATGAACTCCATGTCTGTTGGGATCCTGAAGTCCAGCTGTTCCCTCCCAGACAGCCAACATGCACAAGGGCCTGCCTGATGCAGCTGCAACTGTGCCTAGAAAGGTCACAGAATCACAGAATGGGTTGGGTTGGAAGGGATCACAGTGGGTCATCAGGTCCAAGGTCCCTGCTCACTTACATGGTACAGCCTTCTGCAGTAACTTTCCACTCCCCATCTCACTTCATGGTGCTTTAGGGTACCTGGTGTGACTTTCTGCTGCTCTGCAAACACCAGAAAGAACCTGCAGAGTCACGGGGGTGTTCATACCTGCCCAAGAGGATTGTTGACTCTGTGTATGTGCCTTCCCAAACCTTTGCACATGATTCTTGGCTTAGCATTTGGAATTCCATCCTGAGGAAGAAGAATGTGGCAGAGTTCCTTGTATCACAAAGGAGTAGAATGAAACTGTCTGAACACAGCCGTGCACTAAGAAAAGGCTTGGCCAGCCCTTCCAATGTGTCTCTGTGGTCATCATCACCTCTGCAAAAGACCCCCACAGTCATAGCCTTTCCCATCAAGATTACATCAGGAAGATTAATTTAGTAAGAGGGGGAATGTG